ACGGCAGGATTAGCGTATGCAAATACCATTCGCAGATATAAGGATAATTTGTAAGCAACGGTCACATGCAGTAGAGAATAACCTTCAGCAAGAAAATAACCAATCATAAGACGTTGCTTCTCTGCTAAAATAACGAATAATAATGTACGCAAAGATATATAAATATCTGTTGATTTTCTCAATAAACGATCTGTTGCCTGTCCCTTGTCTTCTGTCGTTACACGCCTACTGGCTATTTGTATTCTACCATTCACGGATTTGTAAGTGTAGAGCTTGAAGAAAAAGTTACTGAAAACAAACTGTTTTGCTCAACACTCATCTTGTTCTGATTAAACTACAGGGATATTTAAATATTCAAAATTTTTGTCCGCATATGTCTTATTACTGAAAATATTTTACAACTGTCAAGTATGCAAAATGGTTATAAATATGGTTCTCATTTACCAAGTGCTAATTGAGCTTACCATCAGTTTATATGCTTCTTAATTGATTGTCCATGTTGGTGAATATTGAATCGCTTGTTTATTCCAACTAGTACTAATTTGGTGGGAGACAAGATAGCTGTCATCGCTTAATTGTGTGCTGATTGGCAGAAGATTGGAGAAATACGATCAGAAGTATTCCTGTATGTTATATCAACGTTTATTTACAGACTTTGGCACTGATTATCCATCGTAAATATGTTTCCTTATCGCTTGAAGAATAAACAGTGGTGTTGCACAACCGCTTTCTGGAGTTCTGTGTTGGTTACATTCAGTGCATAGTGTTCTACGTATTAAGCCTAGTCTTCTGAAACCAGCGATTGGTCAAGGATCTCTGCGATCTGGATCTCTGAGAATTATCCTACTAATATTCCTGACATTTTTAACGAAATTATTTCATATTCTTATTGTAGTATTCTACAATTTTACTAAATCTCAGGAATTCATTTCCATTAGGAACTAATGGCAAGTGGATAATTATTCGAACGAAATTATGTACTACTGATTGATTGGAATGAGTAGTTGCATATAACTCATATGAACCAGCATTCCCTACTAGCGAAATCGAGATGATCTTAACACCGGACTGCCGTTTCGTTATTTTGGGGACGAACTCATCATCAGTGTATCCAGTGTGACTTAACTCAAAAATAGAGCTCAATCAGTTGAAATCACGTGATTTCAGGCTACCTACCTTGTCGAACTAGTCATGCCATGAATCAAATTCACAATTTGCAGATTGGTTGACAATTTGCAATCTATACAGTTTTAGTGGTACACCGGATAGACTGCTAAGATGAGCTCTGTCCCAAAATGAACGAAAAGGCCGTCCGGTGTTTAAAACAATCTCGATCTGGCTAGCATGCTCTGCTAATTGATGTGACTTGTACGTAACTACTCATCCAAGTTACTCAGTAGTATAAAGCTTTATGCAAATGTTTCTTGCTTTCTTGATTACTGTGTACGTTATGAAACAGATGACTACTGTAATGAGAATAACTTGGTTTCCAAAGGAAACTACAGTGAAATTTCACCTCATCGAACAGTGTAATTTGCAAATTGTGAATTTGATAATTATTCGAATTCAAGAAATAGTTAGCATCTTTCTAGCTTTCTTCACACTCCGCAGCAATCTATAGACTCTAGGCGTAATCATCTGAATTCGAGAGGAGTACATTAAGGTGTTGGGTGAGAAATTAACATTCAAAAATTTATAATTCCCATCCATTTCTGCTTTAGCACAGTAGATAAAGCTTCGATTGAATTCTTACTTCTTACTGGTGTTTAATTTACTCACCAGTTTATCCTATGGGTTGGTTTCTTCCTTGTCCAGTAATTCAAATACATTATAAAGGCCTTAAGCATGCAATCACTGGTAGTCAATGAGTAAATGAAATTATCCAGTTGTTCGAAAATTCCTTATGACCAGCATAATGAACAATGTATATTCTATAGGATGTACTCCACCTAAATTTTCGAATTTTTATTGAATAAGAAAACCATATTTCAGTTAGTATTTTGCATGCTTATAAAATACTGCCTCTTACTAATTGACTGGGTAACCTACTTTTATATACTACTGACCGATTTAGTTGTATACTACTCATATCGACCAGCGATGCCTGCTAGCTAGACTGAGGTGACCAAAACACCGAATGGTCATTTCGCTCATTTGGGACCAGTTCGCCAAAACAGCTTATCAAAAAATGGATAGTTTGAACTGATTAGGCTCCTTGAGCTCGACCCTAAACGAGCGAAATAACTATCCGGTGTTTCGATCGCTTCGATCTCGCTAGTAAACACTACTGGTTGATATGAGAGGCATACAACTACGTAGGAGTCATACACCTCTTCTTGATTTCTTGATTGATATTTATCGTACCCAGATCTGGATAATTTCGGTTTCCAAAGGGAACTGCGATGACTGATTACTTTAATCCAAACTCACCACAGTAGATATCGTTTTCATCTACAGACCTTAAAAATCTACTTTGCCACTGATGAACAGCTTCTACATACACATTATTTGAATTACTGTTTACACAATTCGCGATAGGAAAAGCCATTAAACTAGGATAACTACAACTCTTCACTTTCCCACGGGTTTGGACGTCCTTCTGACTGTTTTTCATATTTTCGATAAACCCACTGTTGCGCTTCTGAATTCTATATTCACCAGAAAGTTTCCTTGTTAAATGCTTCTCACAAGTGTGCAACGAATTCTGAATCACCCGTTAATTAAAAGTTCCCTTCTTCATGAATTATATTCTCATCAGTAGAACGCCTTTATCAACAAACAGTGATATAAAACATCCCTTCTTGGAATAAGATGCTTAGTAATGATAATAAAGTACAATCTGTGATGCATAAAAGTATTTTTTTCCTGAAGTAGACGTAGGAAAACTTTCTAAAGATACTGGAATCCTCAATTATTTGATTCAGAGGAATTTAAACATTTGACATCATTTATGATAGTACTTATTTGTGCTAAAGAAGCATACGAGGTATTCTTTTCGGGATTTACAAACCATCTGCGGTGCCTGTCCCTTATACATCTATGGAGGCCTATATATAAATATATGTAAATCACGGTAATATTATATTATGCAATAAATAAGAAATCTAGAGATCACTTCAATTTTCTGTAAATTGAAGAAAATCACGAACAAAAGTGGAACACATTTGCAGTCCAGCAGCTCAAGAGAGAGCATAATTGCTCGGTCTCGCTTAGTAAATTCAAAGGCTGCAAAAATAGGAGAGAATGATCCATCTCTCATCCGCTATTGGTGCTGCCATCCTTATGCATGTACTCGTTTCTTGTGTCACATCTAATGATCATCCTACCCTACATCAGCAAAAGGAGGACTACTAAAATCTTTAATTAATACGGGGAACTAGAATATCTACGACTGGAAGCTAGGTATACGAAATAAGCCTTGCCTGGATGAAATTCTCTGAAAGATTATGAAAGTTTATGAGAATAAACACCTCATCAGAAGTTATCACAACTTTCAACTGACTTACCATTCAGAGTCATTTACGAAGTGAGTACAAATCTACCAAAGGCAATGTGTTTCCGACTTCTATGGACTGCAAAAGCCTTCGCTATATGCATCGACTAGCCGGAGCCATATATTCAAAAGTAACTAGTCCAGCTTGTACATCTAGCATGGATCTAGTTCTGTTTGGCTCCCTAGGTGTCGTCTGTTTTGTCTTGGTTTTTTTGTATTATTTTATCTTCAGTAATAAAAGCTACTAATTCAGCTTGCTTCTATGCACATCCTATTCACATATATCCTCGTTAAAGACCATTGTGTATATTACGCAACTATTTTCTAATCTTGTGTAATTTTGTTTCTATGCCCCATGTGATCTATACTCACACCTTTAAAGCCTCATATAAAGTTGGAAATTACTATCTCCTTGACTCTCCCTTCGCTATTATGTTGAATTTAATAATAATTGTAACCATGTAAACTTGTATATAAAAATATGATTGTACGGCCAAAAATGTGTCTATATCTGCTGAGTCTCGTGTTCTTTCCTTCATGACGTCGTGACAGGTAATAGTCACAATTTAAAAATATAACCGCCATTGGATATGACATAAATACGACCTCTAGATATATAAAATAATGTCAGCACTAATGAAGTACTGCCAAATAGAGAAAGCGATTACTGGAGCTTTGCGTAGTCTTCTTAACAAGGCAGGAAACAAAATGGTATTCGAACATGTTGCGACACTTAGAAATAAGCTATTACTGGAATTTAATTGGTGGATGGTGACTAGCAGTGGAATCTAGGATAACGCGCATTTCGTCCTATTTGGGACTCGTCAACTGGATGTACCTGCATTCCCCAGTGTGTAAAGAAAAAAGCTATTATTGGGTTAAAGGATCCTGTATGACTATAGTATTACGAGTGAATTTCACTCCTGAAAGTCCACATCACCCCCCCAACCGACCCACTAAATATGACACAAGTATCAAGGAAAGACGGAAAAAGGCAAATGAAATAGAATTATACATATATTACTTGATTTATTAGTTGATATTCTAGAAGCAATTGAAAAAATAGTATTTTAATAGTAGAAAACGAAGACAAAAAAATTGACAGAATATACTGCAATTTGTTAAGAATAATAATTTCAATTATAATACCTAATTTTGTTTGTTTTTTTAAAAAAAAAATCTATTTCTAACATCCAATAGGTATCAGTTATTTCAGTAAAAAAAACGAGAGTAAATTCGTGTTGTTTTATTCTCAATAGTAAGCAAATGAATCAAAGGAAAACAAACATGGAATCAACACTTTTACCTGAACTGGTTTCAATTAAGGCACAATCTATAGAAGGTGAATTTGTGGAATGCACTGTAAAAAACTGAAATCACATTCAATAATGTGAAGGAAGAACACATGAATTTGAAACATCATTATTTTAACATCATATTGCTTGAGTAGATGTTTGTTTTGTTTTGCTTTGCTTTTTTCGAATAAGCAAAATAAGAAAAAAGAGTCTTAAACGAGATTATTGAATCCAATTTTTCCTTTATCCAGCGGTTCTTGTTCTTTTTCTGGTGGATGATGTTCCTTAGCATAATGATCTATAAAATTACGATACATTTCAGTGACAATCTCGCCAGTAATTACATCGCCTGCGTTCAAGGCTAACATTCGAATAATGAATACACCATCTGGTCTTAGATAGTTGTCAGTAAATTCATCTAAATCTTCACGTTTTATAGCATCACCATTTGCAGTGGTTACTCCCTTTAGCCGGAGATATCGTTTTATAAAATCTTTACGTTTTGGTGCTAATATTAAACGTACCAGCCATAGAATAAGGCTAAATATACATGTGATCATAAGGAAGACAATCCAGAACCAGAAAAAGATGTATATCTTCTCATTCAACATGTTTATAGGTAAGGCACATTGGGCGGTGTATGCATTTTTAACGCCGACTAATCGAATCCCTGGGACACGACAATAGGCAACACGAGGGAATAATAGCGTTTCTGGCCAATCACGTCCAGCACGAATATGATTGACAACAGTTAGACCAAATCCATAGCCTTCCACGTTTTCATTTTCGGAAAATGGTACAGTGCTCACTGAAATGGAAAGAAAAACAAGCATGAAGGTGTGTTGACCTGATTATTTATGAAATTATGAGTGAGTTAGTCTGTGATAGCATCGGTGCTTCAGCAGTAGGTTGCTGAGCAACCATGCAAACAGTCCGAGGTTCGATTCCCGGACGACGCACACGTGTACCTCCTCTAGACGGTTGCAAGCCTAAGAAAGAAGGAAGTTTGGACGTGGGGCTAGCAACCTCACCCCGTAAAAAAACACTACTCCGACCGGAACATAGGGCTTGGACATCTATTTCGTCCTAGCACGGAACTATTTTTTTTAATTTTTTTTATTTTTGATTACAGCTTGATGCCACACCGTCTTTTCAGTACAAGTATGGAATTTCCAGCATGGATATCGGTAGCCCAAATTTTGCAGGCCGACCATAGATATCAGGTGTGCGTCGGCATGGGACCGAACCCTGGACCATGTGCATGGTCGGCGAGAGTCCTAACCACTGTGCCACCAACGCACAGTACGCACCGATCATCCTACAGAGGATCGAACAAAGGGCCTTCAGGTTACAGGCCTACTTTGTTGACTATTCAGCCAGTTGGACGGGATTGAATCATTCATGAATTCTAACTCTTCTGAACTCGCAAAGTTTTGCGCCACCAGCGGGTAATGTCACCGGCGAATACTTTTCTTCACGTCCCAACCCGCTGTACCTCACTCACCATGACATTTTACAACAAAGTCAAGCAACTTCTTCTTTTAATCAGTCATTAGTGATTAAGTAATTAATTTTAAGTTGTTAGTTTGTAGAGATTCGATTGGAATCAAGTTTGGTCGAGGACCACTGCAGAATTCATGGCCAGTGGGCTCCATCAGGTCCAATGTGAGGACAAACACTCACCAGTGACACAAATTGACGGAATTTAGAATTCATATACCATTGAACTCCGTCCCACTATCTGAATGACCAACGAGCTCACTGCGTAACCTTAAAGCCCTGAATATAGTTCCCTAGCTGATTTCAATTTGTGATCAAACTTAAATAAAATCCTTGCAAACTAACGCTGAAAAATAAAACTATACTACTTATAAATAGTATAAATTTCTCTGGTATATTTTCCAGTATGGTTCTTTGTTAATCAGGCCTCAACACAATCTAGAGAACGATAGGTACACAGGCCCAAACTATATGGTTGTAACTTATGGTATTTGCGTATGGCAGGTTATTAAGATCCATAAACTAAAATTTACAGTAAGAAGGACGATTTGAAGTTCCAGTAACAATTCTCTGAATGTTAGTTCTACTTCAAAAAGAAATTGAAATTCGTTCCTCATGTCAACCTGAAACTTTATAAGCAAGCATGAGACACTCGGACCATTCAGTAAAGCCCATTCAACTGTGAAATTGATGCATGAGAAAGAATGTGAGTGTAAGGCAACATTTCCAGATATTCTTTCTGGGGAAATTGCTAATGAAAGGGAGTATATTTTGTATAAGGACATCAGTAGATTAACATATACGCAATATAAGTACAATAGCTCTTAAGTGAAACCAGAAGCGGGAGCTGCCTGTCTTCCTTGTTTTAGAAGACACAATCGACACTGCAGGATTTTTACATTAGCACTTATTTCTGCATTTCCTGTGGCCTAGTAAATAAAACCTCAGTGTTTGAAACCATCAGCCCTTGGTTAGAGTCACCTAATGGAGATACAGGAGCATCTAACTAACAAGTCCAAAATGGGACGAAACTTCGCATCCTTAATCCCTCTGTTAGCCACGATACGTTCTGCAAGATAGTAGAGACATTATAAAATTCCTTAAAATAACTGAAATTAACGCATAAGAGTTAATCGATTCTGTGGTTAATATTAACCTGAATAGGCACCAAGGTAATCATGACCGCTTACCTGCTTTCGGATCAAACTCTTTACCAAGTTGAAGACTCCGCTTACCAACACTGCCATTTGAATAAAAGCCCAAAAATCGTTGAATAAGAAATATTTGTAATCCAGCATTAATGATAGTAATAAGCTTGACACATAAATAAGTAAATATCAAGCGTGTACCGAGTCGTTTGCTAGCAATAAATATCCCACCGATACGAACTGCTTGCTTGGCTAATTTGGCGCGCCTTCCCTTTTTAAAAAAGTAATGATGATGAAACGAAAAGTTGGGTATTGAGTGAATAAATAATACTGTCACCACTGAGATTTATGAAAAGAGGACAAAATAAATACTTGGTAATAGAAGAATGACAGTTTCGATGAATAGCTATGCTGGGTTTTGTATTTCTAATACAGTGGCAGTAAATATGTGTTTAAAACTTCGATTCGTGGATAACATCATTGTTAAGTGGCTAACGATTCATGTTTGACTTGTCCACATTAGTCACACATTAAAGAAATTTAAGTACGGATTATTCTGAAGATCTACTGCATTCAACACAAAGGGACACAATTGAAATTGTTAACACTGACGTCAGCACTAATCATTATTAACGGAAAAAAATTTGAAGGAGATTACTTCGTTCACTTATCTAGTGAAGCTTCTTTTCAACTACGGGAGGAGACAAGGATGAGGATGTCGAAACCAGAATCGGAAAGGAAAGGTAGACCTTCTCAACTCTGAAGTCAGTTTGGAAATCTTCTGAACTCGGCATAAAGAACACAACTCAAATTTTCAATACCAATGTTAAATCAGTTCGTCTAAATGTGTCAGAGACTTGGCGTGTTACAATAAGCATTTCTAACAGCCACCTTCAAACTTTTATCAATACCTGCCTTGGTTGGCTAGACACAGAAGATCGAATGGTCGGTGGAAAGCATTGGTTACAAGTGAATCTAGGAACGAACGAACCATGGACGTAATGATCAACAAATATGTAGGAGAAAATGGAGATGGATTGGACACACGCCTGGGAGACTGCTAGGTGACATCGTGTGCAAGGTCATCACTCAAGTGGAACCGGAAGGGGAAGTGACAGATGGGGCGTCCGAGAGTGACATAGAGGAGATCGTGTGAGGAGGAGATAAGGGACTATGGGTAGTCTTGGAGCCAACTAAGGAGGATCACAAAGAACAGCATAAAATGGAGATTTGCTGTTGAAGCCGTGTGTTACTTCTAGGAATCCAAAGGAATGACAACAATAAGGTAAACGTTTCAAAATGCTGTTGTACAGCCTCTGAGGATCAAATCACCAAAAAAAGATATCTTTACTGAGCTTCTTGTTCTTTTCTGTGATATATCAAATTCTCTTTTTCTTTAACTCCTTCACCTTCCCAGTGGAACGTAGGGCTTCAAGCGAGAGGCTTGAAGTTTCTGTAGCAGTGTTTACTTTTACAGGATGGGGTTGCTAGCCTCATACCCAACCTTTCCTATTCACCAGCTTTTATTTCTGGCTTAGTGAGGTAAAGGAGTGCGTCGGCCGGGGACCGAACCCCGGACCATGTGCATGGTCGGCGAGCATCCTAACCGCTATGCCGCCGACGCACAAACATTATCAGGGCGAGGCGCATGCAGATAACACACAGTCTTCTTCGAACCTTGCACACAACCATTAGGTCGCGTACTATCCCATCGCCCTTGGCAGATCTGGCAACAAAAGTCACGAGAACACCATCAGAGCATATGACAGGTTAGGTACCCCATTGGTTAAATCAGTCACCATCTGGCGCTGATAATAACAAAAAGGTTCAAGGAATGCACTGAGCATGACTTAAAGCTAGACAATACCTGAAAAATTTAATCTTGTCAATAAAAAAGTTAGATTTACAATAAAATGCCTGACCGTATAAAATTGTAAAAAGAAATAAATATATTAAGCTAACTTACTCGTCTGCATTCTTTATGCGATTCAATCATATCCTCAACAAATTCAGCAACACGAGATACTGTTTTCTGTCGATCATCACGTGTTAATACAGCAGCCTCAGCTGCTGATTTCACTAATGAGAACATATCACCCCCTGAACGACAAGCACATGCAGCTTGCCATGCAATATGTGGAATATAAAAAAATATACATTGTAGGCCGAGGACAAACGGTACCCACTGGTAATACGCTAAAATTAAAAAAAGGCAAAAATGTAAGGATGAACGCATTGATAAATGAAATATACATATATATGTATATATATATATTTGACTATAGCTTTATTCCATACATATTTTGGTACAAGTATGGAATTTTCAGCATATGATATCGGTGGCCCAAATTTAGCAGGCCAACCATTGATATCAGGTGTGCGCCGGCTAGTGATCGAACCCCGCACAATGTGCATTGTCGGCTAACGTCCTAAATGCTGTGCCACCGACATATATATATATATATGTACATATATATATGTACATATATATATATAAGATTTACTGTCACTGGTATTTCCTAGTTATTAGTGAATAGAAGGCCTGGGTCACAGAACCAATGAACAGCTGTGAGTAAATTGAAATTATTCAGAGCATCTGAAATAGACCAAAATGTCTTGTCAAATGGATATAAGTCAGAATATAATGTCAGTTATTCCTTAAAACTTAAACCATTTGCATTTCATTGACATCAGTCTGATAAATCAGTGTTATGTTCAAGAATGTCACATAAATTTCTGAAGCCTAACCTTACAGTCAGAGTGTTCAGGTAGGTTAACTACGAGCAAATGAACCGTTATTAGGTCAATTCTAGTGTGGTGAGGGCTGGCTGCTAGCCAAAATTGGTAGATAGTAATTTACGTCAATGTGTACGTCCCCAATATTTGTCATGAGAAAAACGAGAACAAAGACTGACTCAACAACCAATCACAGTAGACTTTGCGTGGGCGGATACAATTTACAGATAGATAATCTGAACTTCAATAAGCGGCCACAAAGAGATGAAACATTAACGTTCAGCGAGAAATCACCAATCAGAAAACTGTGTTTGTCTGCTAACAATAATCCATAATAATGTACATGGAAAAATATAAATATGTGTTGATTTCCTAAATAAACGATCTGTTGCCTAACTCTTGTTTTCTGTTGTTACACTAGTTTTCTCATTAGTTGATTAGATAGAAATGTTCAGCCTCTGTTAACACCTCGACGCCTAGTTCAGAATGCTGTAACGATATCTAAAGATTAACTCTAAGTAATTTGATGGATAGCGACTATTAGTAGAATCCATGACGCATGTTTTGTCCTATTCGGGTCTCGTCGTCTGGATGTACCTGCAACCTGTTCCCACTGAGACTCGAACGAAATGCATACTCTAGATTCCAGTCCTAGTCACCATCAAACAACTGACAAAATTCTTAAAAATTCGTAAAATCTGGACATTAGTTTTCACTCGAACAGATCAGACATCACTTAATTTTTATGAGTTATCAAACTTTCAAGGCTTGATAAGGATAGTGCCTGGGTGTATGCTTCTCTTTTTTCATTAGATGGTATTAAGTGGTATACGTGAAGCTTAATCCACGACTGATAAGTGACCCATTATGAGATGGATTGCTTGAAATTCTAATGGGGAGTCGTGACAGATGAACTCCATGAGGTTGAGTTTGAGGGAAAAAAACTCTCAGATAACATTGAATGAATATGGCGCTATATATCACATGTAAGTAGAAGTTATAATTCACGAAACATTAAATTCCGCCCCAATGGTTGAATGGTAAGATACGCACTTTGTAATATAAATCTTCTGGATTCGATTCCTGATGGTAACACGGATGAGAAAACACAGTTCACTGTGTGAACTGCCTCTGTCGTACTCTCATTATATAGCCTAACATACAAATCAAATAATATGAACTCGAAGTAAGTGGTTCATCATCGTGTGATTGAATAAATATTACAGGAATGATTTTTTTCTTGTAAATAATATCATCAACTTGTTTATCTGAACCAATATCATCCAGTTTCAGGATAAGTAACTATTGCTGTTCTGTTTGTTTGTAATACTTGGACATACACATAGTGAAGATGAATTTTGAAGTATACAGAAATCAATCACTTGAGTTGGTTTTAGTTTCTTCACTCTATTTTTTGTCTGTTTGGCGTGTTAACAGATACACTAATAATACATGTTTCAGTTAATGCTCTCTATTGTAGTAAGATAAATTTCGGTAATTCATTCTGTATCAATTACTGACAATAATTTGACTTTCAGTGTAAGTCTAAATGTTTAACTGTCCCTGAGATATTAGATAGTGTGAGGCAACTGGCAGGAAGCCTTTGACCTAGGTTTCGTGCTAGTTGGCACCCACCACCAGTCAGCAAGGCGCATCTGCCACCTTGAAGGAACTCATGTCCCACCCCTCTGAGATTCGAACCCGCGTCACTCAGTGCTGCAGTCAGAGATGTTACCACTAAGCTAGCTATTCGGGCTCGCGATTGACCTCCTGTAGGACTGCATTGGATACTTCTGATTGGACACTAGTTAGAAACTAGTGCAATGTGTCTAGTGCCAATTGCCAACTAGTACGAAAACTAGGTCCAAGGCTTCCTATCGATTGCCTCCAACTATCTACCATCAACTGTTTAAAGTGCATCGTAATGGCGAGCCACCTAGAATGGTGGCTACATCGCCAACGTCACTGATAGAATTCAGTCTAAACGAAACAAAGGACTAGACTAGTGTCCAATCAAAAGTATCGCTGAGATAATTTTTCTCTGAAGAGGATTGGCTGACTTACAACACCTATGTGAATAGGTTGGAGGATTTCATCATGAGCTGACATCACTTAGGGAACTGCTGGAAAACCTAGAACTACTGGACAGCTGTTTCGTCCTGGTTTGGGGCTCTTCACCAGTACGCACCCACAACGAGGTTCGAACCCACCACCTTCTGGTTACAAGGCTAGCGAGCTCATAGGCCATTAAGCCACTGGGACCCAATCCAATGGCCACTGCATGAATTCTAACTTCTGCCAATTTTATGACATAGCGCGACCACTTTGCAATGACTTCTTCGATGAGCTACTGCCTCTCATTCAACCTGCTGTACCCTACTGGTCACGACTTCCCACTAGAGCCAGTCGCTAGTGAGCATCGGATCAATTTTCAAGTATTGGTTTTTGTAGGGAATTTTGTTTGATCGTTTGCAGGAGCTAGCCTTGTAACCAGAAGGTCCTGGGTTCAAACCCCGTTGGTGGGTGTGCACTAATGAAGAGTCCCAAACTAGGACGAAACAGCTCCCCAGTACTCCCAGGTTTTTCAAAGGTTTTCTAACTGATGTCTGCTTATGATGATATCTTCCAACGAATCAAACAAAATTCCCTACAAAAACCAATACTTGAAAACCTAATTAAATATGATAGAGGAGCATTGGGATAACTGTTCCATCCAACTTCATCTCATTTCAGCTGAACACATAAGCAAGACTGCAGAAAGTATTGAGCAAGAAACCAACAATTTTTCGAAGCAATTACGTTACCACCCAGCCATCGAGTCATAATAAAGTAGTTCATTATTTCTCATTTCTCTCTCCCTGTCCATCTGCTCTATGATACAACTACAATCTAGTGTTATTGTGGTGAGAGGTGTCTGCAAGACAAAATTGTAAACAACAATTGACGTCAATGTTTACGTCCCAAATAGGGGTCATGAGAAAAAAATAAGAACAAAGCCTAACCTTGAGGAACTCAACAACCAATCACAGCAGAATTAGTGTGTGCAAGCAAATACGACTCACAGATATTGTAAGCGACGGTCACAAGCAGTTCAGAATAACCTTCAGCAGTAAACAACCAATCAGAAGAAGTCGCTTCTCTGCTAACAATAACGCTAATAGTAATGTTCATAAAAATCTATAAATATCTCTTGATTTTCTCAATAAACGATCTATTGCCTGTCCCGTGTCTTTTGTTGTTACATTACTAGTGAGCAAAGTTTCTTCTGCAATGTAGCATTTATATCACCGTTTAGTGTACCTATTTACCTATTAACTTGCAGCCTGATATCACCACTTTATATTATTCCACTATATATATACAATAAAATAATATATACCTTCAAAAGTGAATTTAACTACGTAGTCTGTCGACCACATAAATACCACATAGGCTTTTGAAATTTTACACCTACAGTGCAGTTGAACAATGTAGCTGTAAATGACTAATTTAGGCACCCCAGAGTAAAATATTAGCTACATTCTATGACCAACTTTTATTAAAAGATTATGGGTCTGCTTATGTAGTCTTTATTTTGGTAATAAAAAGGTATTCATACTATTTAAATTGGTATTTAAAATATCTGAACCATAACAAAAATGATACATATTAGTTGGTAACATTTAGTTTGTTCATAATAATAATCTGATTTATCTTGTTAATGGCAAACGGGCTTCTGCTACGCTGGACAAGTAAACTCGCGAACCATTCACAACGATTTTGTCGGACAATGTAGACGATGTTTAGGGATGCAACAGAAGCTATGCGGTCATTATCTACTAAATGTTGTCACATATAGATGAATTATCAGCCAGCCACTCAAATGGTCTCTCCAGGTGCATTTCTGTACCTCGCTTAACCGACAGCGAACTCAGTGAAGACGGAAGGTTGGATGGGGAGGGCTACCACCAACCGTACCCCATAATACATTCACCACCGCTGCCAACACAGCTGAAGCTTGAAACCCTATTTTCCACCTGGAAACTCAAATATAAAAGACGAAAAACGACTCTATGCTCCTTTTTGTTTAGCTAAGCACATAGCGATTTCAAACTCAGCGGGATTTTTTTGCTGGTGAGTATCATATGCACTTAGGTCCATAGGAGCGGGTGAATATATACATAAATTCACGTAGAATCAGGCAATAGAGGGAACATTATTCTGACATTAACGTGAACCAGTAATTTAATTATAGGGTCCTAGTGGCTTAATGGTTTACGAGCTTGCTAGCCTTGTAACCAGAAGGTCCTAGGTTCGAACCCTGTCGGTGGTTGCGTACTGCAAAGAGTCCCAGACTAGGCTGACGAAACATTTGTGCGTTGGTGGCATAGCGGTTTGGACGCTCGCCAACCATGCCCTTGGTCCGGGATTCGATCCCCGGCCACCGACGCACTCCTTTACCTCGCTAAGCCAGAAGTAAT